TGCGGTGTGAACAGGAAAAAAACTGTAATTTTCAGGCTGCAGCTCCGAGCCGGAGCCTGAAAACGCGTTGGTGTGAAAGGGGCATCTTTCAACCGGTGCACTCGCGTCTTGAACGTTTATGGCGGTGCACCGATGCGAATCGGTGAATCTTAACATCCCTAGTATCCATAGATCTCTTCATTTTGCTCTCAAAGATCACCAGATTGATGCTTTTAACTTCAATATTTAAAAATAAATCTTCCCGGGGGAGCATTCCCCCGGACCCCCCTATGTTAGGTCCACTCCCCACTTATAAAAATAGCACTTGACCCCTGCTTACACCTATTTGTTGTGAGCTGATTATCGAGCATTCATTGTAACTGTCACACTGTGTATATGGGAAACCCTAAATGTTTGAGCACCCTCTATGAAACGTCAAGCTACCCCACAGCACCCCCAAAAGAAATCTCTGGCGCCGCCACTGAGCCTGCAACCCCATTTTGAAGAAATGTGCAGTGCAAAACAGGCTCATTGCAGCCACCAATGCTGTGATAAGACACACTTTTTTGCCAAATATCAGCATTTTCTTTCTTTTCATTTTTTTGCATAGATTGCCAAGTGGCAAAGTATTATAACTTATTGTTCTAGCAAAGGGATTGCACAATTGTATTATTATTATTTTTTTGTTGAGCAAACAGACTTATGGAGCATTGTTTTATTATCACGGTTCTAGCAAAGTGATTTTTTTGAAAGGAATGTTCACGTTCATATTGATGTATTTTATAAATGTATATTGATGTATTTAATAAATGTTAACTTGGCCCATTACGTGACTATTTGTGTTGGGGGGGCCCGACTTTTTTTTTTCTCCAAAGGGGGGGCATGACAGAAAAAGTTTGAGAACCACTGTGATAGACGCTCATTGTTAAACATTTTGGGGCTAATGAAACCATGTGTGTGTGCAGGAGTGTATGATTCCTCTGGGCAGCGAGGCTCTGAGCTCCTGTAAGCAGCAGGATGTCCAGCCTTTCCTTCAGGCCCTCAGATACACCATGTTCCAAAGACAACTGCTCCAGAAACTTAAAGGTAATTACCAATTCAGACAATTGATGCATTAACCATTGTCAAATGGCGATTCTGAATAAAAAATGTGTTTGAAAGGAGCTTTCGATTTTGAATTTGCCATCCCCAGAATCAAAAGCAAACGGAACACCTCAGTGTGGCTTTTTCTTCTTCCTTTCTGCAAATAGGAAACCAATCTTGTACCGCCAAACCTTTACATTTGTTTTGTCTTCCTTTCTTTATTGAAGAAGTTTGCTGCAAAAAAGTAGTTCCGTTGAGTCTGTGGTAAGCTTGTCCTATAACTTCACAATAAAAGCTCCCTTCTGGTTCACTAATGGGAAGCTTTTAATGTGAAGCAGCAACAGGAAATGTTGGGTTTCCCTCTGTCTCACACAGCTCTGGTATGGCTGAAGGAACATGTAGATAGTATAATAATGTTAATCCAAAGGTCTGCATGTCCATCCTTGTCCAGGTCACTCTCCCTCCACCGACAGCCACCTCATGGAGCTTAGTCTCACTGCTGTCAAATTTGCCCGGAAGAAAGGCAACATTGCCCTGGCGTCCCGCCTGCTCAGCCAGTGTGGGAACAGGACACAGGAAGAAGGGGGGCAGCAGGAGGGGCTGAGCCAAGCCTTCAGACATCTCTCCCTGGAGGGCACCGTGGGGGAGAGGTGGGGTGCAGAGCTGCAGATCGAGAAAGCTAAAGTCCTGAGGAATGCAGGTAAACAACTGGAGATATTCAAATTACACACATAACAAAGCGGCAGCTTTGCATCTTGCTGCTGCAAAGACTCTTTCAGTACGATATTTAAGATTTTGTATTTGGAAAGCGTTAAAATTCCTTCAAACCATGATGTTGGCATGTTTTCATGCTTCCTCCTGATTTGCTGAAACACGTTATATTCTCCTGGTCTTATTGCTGACATATAGGGTTGCAAAGGGGCGGAAAGTTTCCATGGGAAGTTAAACTGGGGAATTTTGGAAATATTTGATGCAAAATTAAACAAAAACACATGACATTTCAACCGAAAACTTGTTCTGTTCTACTTAAAAAAAGTTTCCGTTTTTTTAAGTAGAACCTTTGTGTGGTCTCAATAGCCATTATTCCCGTTAATTCCTGTGGAAAGTTTCCACCTTTGAAAATTCCCGGAATTTTGCAACCCTACTGAAATATGCTGATTACAAAATGTATTAGTCTATTGGTATTTATCACACATAATAGACAATCAATACATTTTATTGATGATTTGGCCAATACCTAAAGTGATATTTTATGTGTTTTTCATTATAGTACACAGTCAGACCTAATTACAATGAGTTTAGTACTATATATTATTTAGTTTAGAAGTGTAATACCTGCATTTGCAGTTGTCAAGGTAGAAATAAACAGGAGGCAGAGAGCTTATTTGCACCAACAGGTTGCCTAATGCCTTTATTTTTTCTTTTAAATATTCTTATAAGGTGGAAAGGGGTGGGAATTTTGTGAAAAACTAAAATGCACCGCTTTTATAAAAACACGCACTGAGTCTAAGGGAGAAACCCTGGGTTAACAAATCCAGTTGATGACCCCCCTCTGTGGTACACGTTATCTCTGGTTAGGTTCTCTGAAGTCTGCTGTTGATGACCCCCTCTGTGGTACACGTTATCTCTGGTTAGGGTCTCTGAAGTCTGGTGTTGATGACCCCCTCTGGGGTAAACGTTATCTCTGGTTAGGGTCTCTGAAGTCTGGTGTTGATGTCCTTAGCTGTCTCTAAGCAGTGTCTCTGTCCACAGGCCAGTCCATGGCAGCCATGGAGATGCTGAGCAGGGCTGCTCTGTCTTACTGTCACGTGGGGAAGAATGAAGGCGCCGCCTGCCGCTCCCTACTGACACTCTGCAAATGGCTGCTGGCCGACTGGAAGGACATGACGCCTCAGCTGAAACAGGCATGCTCTCTCTTCAAACTGATCTACTTTACATTTTGCCGAGCTGTGATATTTCAAACATTAAAATGACTTTAGTTTTTGTAATATATTTCTTCTTCACACCCAGTGTGCTCTGGCTGGTTGTATTGTTAATGAGATGCCTGATGTTGTGGTGCAGGTGGTGAAGCGGTCAGGAGCAGTGAACTCCTCCAGCGCTGTGGGCAGCATGTCTCCTCTGAGCCGGAACATCGGCGCTCTGCTCGAGCTCCCCCTGGAGGATCAGGGGATCCCCCACATCATCACTGAGACCTCAGGTAACACAGAGTACAGGAACAAATCCCAAATAAAGGTAAAATAGAAAATACATTAGACTAACTTTATCTGTTTATATTAAAATCTTTAAAGTAAAAAGTGTCTGCAAACTATGAACTACAATACAGCAGTGTTCTAGCTCCATTTTAAAGTTGGTTTTGTTCCTGCAGTGAGTGTGGGCGTTGGTGAGCCAGACTTCGTGTTGGGGCAGCTCTACCAGCTCTCCACCAGCCTTGCTCCAGAGATGGCAAAGTCCTGGGCCGCACTGGCTAGCTGGGCCTACCGCTGGGGCCGGAAGGTGGTGGATAACGCCAGGTTAGTGCACCCAGCTTCACCTGTATGAAATAATGCAATTTAATGTACCACAGTAAATCAAAAGACATGAACCCATGAAACGGCATACTGCAGGAATATTTCATTACATTATTTGTTTTCTCCTCAGCCAAGGGGAGGGATTGCCTCTTCTTCCTGGAGAGAAGAAGGAGATAGAGGAGCTGCTGCCAGCAACCACCAGCGAAGAAGACAAGGAGATCATCTTCAGCATCCTCGGACAGGCCATGTGTCGACCTACCGGCATTCAGGTAGAGTCTGACTTCAGTGACGTATTTACTGACGTATTTTATGTCTTAGAAAAAACATTAGAATCTCCTTTTCAGGCTTCTAACCAAAAACACGTTCTTAAATCGTTTAACTTTGAGACAAGAGGCGCTTTCACACCGTAGTACTTTTCCCTTTTAGTTCCGATAGTTCCTGGGATTTTGCGTTCACACCAAAAAGAGAACTTGGTTCATGAGAACTTTCCCCCCCTTTTTAGTCCCTGCTAGAAAGTAGGTACTTTCCTGGGGAGAAAAAAGTTCCAAATTGCAAACCACGCCCCGTAAAACTCTGAAAAGTTTTGTGCCCGTAAAACTCGGAAAAGTTTTGTGAAGCGCCAGTGTTATTTTGTGGCATTGAGCAGTTGAAGTGAGCATTAGCATTAGGCGCCATTATTAGCATTAGCCAGCGCGACCAACGGAGAGTAGAATACACTGTATGGCCACACACAACGAAAACACGATGGAGTTGCGCGGAGCGATGAGGACGGGGTGTCGGGCTTATTCTGGCGATTTACTGTCTGAGACTGCGCTTGCCTCGGAGCCAGGCCGCACTCCGGGACTT